TGAGACTAGTGGTCCTATGTGAATTGCCCAGGTTTATTATTATTATTTAAGATATGATTACACAATTACTATTTTAACATGAGTTAATGTAACCGAAGCTTCCCATTTCCTTTAATGGACAGTATATCAAGTTCCAACAACTTATCATTATGTTTATGTACCTGAATATTACAACATACTCAACCATTCATATTGCGCCAACATTCACGTGTATTGCAACCAACCCACCATCATGAATGAGATACTCGTTTTTTTAAATGTCAAATTCAGTGGCGCAGATTCAGTAGCGCTATAGATACAGCAACTAACCATTATAAACACACTTCAATACATTAGTACCATTTGTGAACAAAAATTCATTCGCTAAGTAATCTAGTATAGAATCTGCAAATGTTGTGCTTCGCTCCAATTAATGTGACAATGAATTTAAATCTGATAAATACTTAATCTTACATTGGTACTGATGACACAGAATTTAAATTTATAATAAAATACTTTTTCTATAGTTCGGTAAAAAAGATATTGACTTAATTCCTTGAGCATCAAAATATAACTGCCACAACATATCAACCTAAGTTGATATACATAGTATTAGCTGAGATTGTAAATAACATTCTAAGTATTTATCATTACACAGTATAAAACAAAATTGCTGTCGCTGTGTGTCCCTATGTATATGCTTAAATCTTTAAAAATATGCTACGAATTTTGAAGTAGTTTTTTTTTATTAAATAGAGTGATTCGAGATGAAGGTATATACATGTATATACTATATACATGTACACCCGTGCGAAGCCGGGGCGAGTAGCTAGTTAAATATAAAACATAGCTATCAAAGTATATTCTAAGAATAAGACTAAAATGTTAGTGTTAAGTAAAATATAATGTTACACAGTAGGTACCTATCTGTTTCAATAAAGCCCAAAACATAAATTCAGCAATAATAATTCCGACCACAAATATATTCACACAACATTTACAAATCGTAATTAATCATAACTTCCTTCAAGTATTAATAAATTTTAATAAAATTATAAATGTATTCGATAAAATGTATTAATGCTTATTTATAATAGATTTTTTTTAATACATAATCAGTGTTTGTTATGTAATTATACTGTTTTATGTGACGATAGACTTTAATTTGTAAGTGTATGAATATATAAAATTTGTTATTATAATGTCCCATAGTATTTATGTTTTGTATAATAGGTATGTATGGCGTTACTGTGTACATATACTTCATAAATGAGTCTTAGATAAATTTTATTCGCTGTGTGATTATTTCCCAGAGATTAAACATTGACCTACTGCACCACATTATGTTTTCATTGCCTTAACGCTGTCTACAGACTCTTATATTATATTTAGGTAGGTATCGATAGTATTTTTCTCTATCAGACTTATTGCTTATGCTGATGCCTACATTATCAAGTTTAATCATTGGATAATTAGCACTATGAAACAAAACAACAACAACAAAACTATCATATAGTTACACTATATGATAGTTTTTATTTTTCGCATCCATTATTATTTTTATAATTATCGTAGTTACTAATCTAGATTAATATTAATTTGCAAAATTCAATATTAATATAATTGCCTCTAAATATTTTATAGTCAAAATATTATAGTACTTAATGAAAAAAATATTGCATAAAAACATTCAAACACAGTATGAAAAATAGTATTATTCCACCAAGGTGACCTAGTAAGGTAATAACGGTAATGGTAGTAATGTACTTGCTGTTACGGTGTATTAACTGACCCTGACTTCTTTATAATATAAAAAAAAATTTGGCGATAAACCAAAAAAAAAACAAGAGAGTACCAAAATGACGCTGAAAAAACGCCATTGTGGGCGTAGTCCGGTTATTGGTCCACATAATGAAATAAAATACTACTACTAAATACTAATATGTTAAAATAACTTTTTTGTTGGTACCTATAGCAACACTAATCGTCATGACACATGGTACACGCGTAAAATCAAAAAGAAAATAAGCTGTACAATCAACTCCCTATCGTATTGCCTAAGTCATAGATAAATAATAATCGATATTTCTATGATTTACCTACTAGAAATAGGTAAAGGGTTATAATTTTTAATGTTTAGGGTAATAATACTACTTTGAGAATTCTTTTAGTTGTATAGTTTATCTAAGTTGTATTTATCGAGAGAGCTATATGCTAGACTATAGACTAATTGAATCGGAGCCTTAATGAAATTTGGGGCAAAAATTGGGAAAATGTAACGTAGATGAAGTAGTAGTATTAAATATACATATATGTATCAGTATACTTAAATTAAACATATTCTATTTGATACAACATTTGAATAAAAGGTGTCCTTGAGTGGTAACGGCATGTGAACAAACATGTAGATTCTTACATTGTTCACGCATGAATGAACTATTAATAGAATTTTGGGTCGTAAACTGAATTTTTATTGATAAATTTTCGATATCAATAAGTTCATATCAAATACAATGTTGTATAAAGCTCCGCGTATATCAAATTATAGAAGATCTGATTAATAAAGAATTGAAGGAAGATCCAAATGTTATCCATGGATATATGTATATATACCTACCAGTCACGTAACATATGTAGTTGCCATATGTGCCACGTAATATCTATATACTATACATACATACAAATGTACATAACAGCTATATATCATATAAGTTTTGACAATATGAAATTCTTAATAAAGGTTTTGTTGTATAATATAAACGAATTCCATGCAATGCTTATAAAAACTTAGATACAGACAACACATAACATCAAGACTAAAATCAATTAAATAATCCATAATTTACTATAACTTTACTTTTCGACTCGGTGGTCTAGTGGTTTAACACATCGATTTATTTCCGATGGTCGCGCGGTTCGATTCCTCGCACGGTTCAAACATTTGTATTCGTACTCGTATGTCTTTGAATCGGTCTGAGAGTTTTCTATGTATATCACTTATTAAATAAAAATTAAGTATTTATATCGGTTGCTTAGTAACTATCCATAACACAAGCTCTGTTTACAGTGGGACTAGATGGCGCTGTGTTAATTGTCCAGGGTTATTTATTTATTATTATTTATTTATACCCAAGTGGTTTAATAAATTAGTCTCTTAGCAAACTGAATAAATTACTTAATGTAAGAAAAATACTGAATAAACTAAAAAAAATCTTATTTTTAGTTTAACTATATAACTTTAATTTATTTAATTCTCTTATTTCCGATTTAACAATGATAATATCTGTAAAAAATAAAAACACAAGGCTATTTTAAACTAAAGAAAAGGGAACATCGAACAAGAAAAAAATTGTTAATGCATAAACTAATCACAAAATCTTTAATATTATAGTATGAATCAGATAGCTAAGGTAGCATGATAGTTTTAACCATTTCATTGAATAACATTGCGAAATCCTACTGCAAGGTTTTAGTGCACCTTGTGTTTTCATTGGCCTACTATATATCCACTGTCACCTTAGCGAGAATATGGTATGATCTAAATAGAATTCATTATACCCTTGACGTTCTGCGCATAAACATTAATGGCATATGTTGGCATACGTGCCCTGAGATTATCATTAAGAGCATTTTATCTGTAATATATATCTATTTCGTGTCTACTTACTTACTACTTATGTCTACTTACTAGTATCGTTGAGAAAAAGTGAGTGGGTCTTTCATAAAAATGGGTATAAAAATACAATAAGATACCTTAAAATAAATAAATAAAAGATATATTAGAAATACCTTTAAATAAATTAAAAACATCTATTAAACCATAGTTACTGAACAAAAACAATTACTCGCTAAATGATTACTTAAATGACGAACATGCATATCAATATGTAGTTATTTATGCACGAGATTTTCATTGAATATTAGACAGGTAGACACCTATATAATTACACAATGTACCTAAATAAACTCTCTTTAAAAAAAAGAAATTCAGTTGAGTTTCTTGTCAGTTCTTCCCAACTGAATCTGTATACAGAACTGGACAAAAAAATTTACTCGTACAAAATAAATGATGTTCGTAAGCAGCTCAAATTTCTTAATAAATCATGATTTATTAGGAAATTTATTGGATAAATAATAATGCGTTATTTAATGCATCTTTGTCTACGTACTTCCATAGAAAAGTAGATAGTTAAATGGATCAGTACTGGATAGTTATTGATATAGATAGTACGATTAATAAATCAATAAGATTAATAAGAACCAGAAAACAAGTGGCTATTTAATAGGTATAATAATACATCTCCGAATGCGAAACTAAAGTAGACTCTTTAACGCTGAAGCAGCACAATTTCTGTCACCTCCATGTAATGGTGACTCATGCATACTTGGAAATTGTAAGATGTGAAAACAATTCTGTAGACTACGGGTGAAAACTGTGATTGGTACAGTTTATGCTGTAAATAATATAAATGACGTAGTGGAGTAACTTGAAACAGTCATGCTCGCTATAAAGTTTAAACTTGTGACGGCGTGGTGGGTCGGGTTGATGTTCTCCCTCTAATATCGTTGAGTGCAATGATGACTGGCTCATCCGTCATACTCGTGAATGGGTGCTGCTTGTGGGGACTGGTCTGTTCAGGTTGCGAACACTTATTAGATTTTTTGTTTTCTTTTTTCAATAGCATATGCTGGTGGTCACTCTATTCTCCCAAATTTGAATTTAAATAAATATGTATTATTGTAAATATGTACAACATTTAAAAAAAAATACGAGCTGAGTTTCTTGTTAGTTCTTCTCATCTCGAAATCATTCCGAACTGACGGTAGATTTGACATATCGTAAGAGTCTGTAATAGACCTACATGAATAAAGATATTTTGAATTTTGAACTATATTTTAATTCACTCCCAATTATTTAAATTCACAAAAAGTTTAATTTGTTCTCTTTTTTTAGAAGTAAGTTTTTCACAACTTCTAATATGGTAGACGATTTTTTTGTTAATAAAATTTCCGACCTACAGGAATGGCCGCGTATCAACATCAGCAGAGGGCCCATCGCGCCGCAAAAGCAATCTACACAACGCTATGGCAGCAGAAATGGATACATCATGGGGTATATATTCCATCGCATTTAAGGATTAAATTTCGTTAAAAATATATTAATCTCCAGTGCACTGAGATATATTTAAAACAAAACTAAATAATTGAAAAGAATATAAAAATGTAAAAATATTTCAAAAACAAGTACATTGATACTTATAATATATTCAAATTTGAAATAAATTTAAATTCTCAAAATTTGTCTCGCCTCGCAAACACATTTGGAAAAATATTGAGTAGAACAATTGTATTGAATATTGAATTCAAAACAAGTATAAATTATGCACATAATTAGAGGTGGTTAAATAAACCATAAACTAGGCAGTGGTATATGTAGTAGAAATGAACAGGTGTTCATGGAAACCAGTGGTGTATTCACACGCCCATTTCCATCGATTGTCCACACTCGACTTGCATTTGTTTTACGTGACGCTCGTCTGTTTGTTACCAGACCGACCAGCACATATCGAAGGAAGATATAAGAAATATTCGACAACGTCCTCTGTATACTCGAAGAAAGCATTATCACAACAAAGCGAACACGTAGAGAGGTAAAATGGTGTTTCATAAAACCTTCAAATGCTATTTGATTGATGATTTCCGATAACGATGTGATATTTTACAGATCTTGGTGGTATGCGTGTTGTCAGAAGTGTCATCAAGAAGATTCCGGAATTCCTTCGTGGGAACCACCAAATTGGCAAAAAATATGCCCTTACCCACTGTGCCCATCATACAGACAATTCGCACAAACATTATCAGTTTTTATCATTGGTAAACACAAGTAACAATATTTTTCATTGTCGCTTGCTAGTTTTACAGTATCTAATAGCAAAACAGTGCCTATAATATTGAATAAATTTTAATAAAAGGAAGCAAAAGCGTCAAATTATCAAAATCTGAAATTTTTCTAATGCTGCAATCAGCATTATTTACCAATGTAAATAAAGCAAATAAATAAATTAATCCAATAGAAACCCACTACTTTTCAATAGTAGTTAAGAAATATTGGACACTATATGTATGACTTTCAACAATTGACTTTATCAGAAATTTTAAAGTGATAATTAATGGCTTGACATTAAAACTGCTCACATTTTATTTTATTATCAAAAGAAAACTCAGAACAATTTACCTGATATTACTTTAAATCCTGTTTAAGACAATGTGTATTTTTATTTACGAATAGGTACTATATAATTGCGATATGAAGCAAACTGTCAAATATCTAATAATCGTCTAATTTTATTAACGTTAATGGTTTTAAGGGAAAAATATTTTCAACAGGAATACTGGTATGGTTGATAGTATGGATAATAATGGGACACACGGTGGCGCCAGGCGGACAACTTTTTATGCTCGTAGTCCTTACCATCGCGGCTCACTTTGGCGGATGGTTAATGGTCAAAATCACCACACTGCCTGCTCTTATCGGAATGCTCATAGTCGGGATTATTATGAAAAACATAGGCTTCGTAAACTTCGATGCAGATTACTTAAAAGTCGGTTCATATATTAGGTAAGAGTTAATGTCATTAAAACAATCAATCAAATATCGTTAGTATAAAGAAATATAATAATATTTTTCTTTTTAGTTTATTAGCCGCAGATAGTTGTGCCATTTTATATTCCAATTCCTATTTTATTTTCAGAAAAATTGCTTTAACCATAATTCTTACGAGAGCTGGAATGGACTTGGATCCACAGGCCATGAAGAAATTTTTCTTCACTGTTATCAAACTTGCACTAGTGCCATGGACATTTGAATGTGTGCTCTGTGCCGTGATGGCGAATCTGTTACTTGATTTACCATGGGACTGGGGTAAGTCCTATATTTACTCAATGATAACATATCTCTTTTGCTAACCTTGTAAATATATTTGAAATATTTTTTAAGTAAATATACATCCTATTTTGTACATTATATTAGATCATGATTATTGTTAGTAAAATATATATAATGAAATACTTGCTTTTTAATAGCAGAATTTCTTTATATTATCCAAACAGGCTGGTTGTTAAAAAATCACTTTGAAATCTTACTAAATGTGAAGATTGCTATCACATTTTATATTACATTTATTTCACTTTATATCTAATTTAATATCTCGATCTGCCCTGAAATATAGATTCAACAATATCCTTCAATATGGTTATGGACTTGTAAGTAATACAAAAATATTTGTTATAGCTTTCCTACTGGGTTCCATAGTCGCGGCCGTGTCTCCAGCTGTCGTTGTTCCGTGCTTGTTCCGATTGCGTAGCAAGGGTTACGGCGTCTCAAAGGGTATACCCACCCTAGTGCTCGCCGTATCAGGAATTGATGACGCCGCCAGTGTCGCAGTATTTGGCATCGTCACCGGTATTATGTTTTCCAGCTCATCGCTTACTATGAATATTATTCAAGTAAGTATAAATGACACTAATGGAGCATCATTTATAAATCATTATATCGCTGTACAAGGTTCAAATCAAATTTAGTATCTTATTTTGGAAAGCGATTAGTAATATTTATCTAAATTAATTTATTACTACTTGTCCCAGAATGTATGTATATATAGAAATATTGTGACATCTGTGGAGCTCTCATGTCTAAAGGCGCTGCTTAGGTAAGGCGTTATTTTTTACCATTGTAGTCTTTTAGTTTAGAGTTGGTACTCTACTAAATTTCTTTTTTTATGTTTCTAAGTAAGCTTCCATTAACATTGGTTCCCCATCACGACATAGTTAATGCTTGCACTCCCTACTAAATTACTTTTTTGATATTTCTAAGTAAGCATCCATTAACATTGGTTCCCCATCACGACATAGTTAATGCTTGCACTCCCTAATTTGTAAATCCAAACACTAGTTGATTGATTGACAATTAAATCCTACTACTTTCGTAACTTGTGTGTTCTTACATACAACTTTCCTCAACCAGTTAAAGCAGTTTTTTTATGTCGACAATCTTAAATTTTATCTATTATAACAATCTACTTCCGTTACATTTATTACGATTGTGTTATACGAATAATAATACTATACTGGGAACAGTTTTATGAACATGCGTATATCACGTGATTTTCTTTTTATTTATATTTGTATTTTTTTTCATACTAAATATATATTGTACCGTACATGTTAAAAAACCTGTTCTCAATTATTCTTTATAAATTAAGCTGGTGACCTCTAATGGAAAAAATATAAAATACTACTTGTGTATGTGTACTTTTATAAAATATAGATAGGACACGTTTACTAGCTTCCACGATATGACATACCTATATTCAATAACATTGTATTGTTTATTATTTATATTATATTTATTGTATTGTATTCATATCATATCTAAGCGAAACATAACTGCTGTCATCATAGTTTTTTTTTTTTAATAAATCTTTCATTATATTAAATTCCAGGGCCCGCTAAGTATCATCGGGGGTATATTCTTTGGTGTTGTTTGTGGATACTTGGCTAAATATGTACCGGAGCGGAATGATTCGTTCCTAGTGCCCCTTCGTGTTCTGCTGCTTCTGACTGGCGGGCTGGTCTCTGTGCTCGGCTCCGAAGAAGTTGGATGGGGTGGTGCTGGTACTGTCTCATATTTTTATAGCGATAATGTATTCTTATTTATAACCAACCAAATACAAATTTACTTACATTCATTCTATATATATTATATATATCATCATAAAAATCTATTAATCATGTCATTTAATAAAAGTTTATAGGCTCAGAGTCTTATAACTGAAATATGCAACTACCAGAGCCCTTCTCCATTATTTTGTATACCGCAAACCGATAACATTTCCTTAAAATTACAAAAAGTTCGTGTAATAAATAAGTGAATATTTATTAGAGACTAACGACGTGCCTTAATGGGTACTCCCAAGTACTCCATTAAACTACATACGTAGATTTTAATGGTGAATAGTGAACTGTCTTTCCTCTAGTACTAAATAGACTTACACAGTGAACTGTCAAATAATCACATTGCACTGCATAAGTCTTTGTAGCCTAATGAGCATTCTCTCAGCTACAATTTTCACTAACGTCTACACATACATATACATACATACGATGATTTCTATGATATTATTGATAGTAATGTATGTTATAAAATAGAAAATCAGTTTAATATTCTACATCTAATATTTATTTAGTAATTTTCACAATGAGGTTGAGTAGAATTCATAAACAAAAAACTGTACATAAAAGACGAGTAGGTTTATACTAACAATCGTATAAACAGTTTACTAAGTGAATCGCATCAGATAATTGTTTTCCCGTAATATAGGTAACGTCGTTTCCATCCGAACAATGCGGTGTAATAAGCTACATGTACGATGGTTGAAAGGATCACAATCAAACACACACTTCTTAGTCAACGTACAGAGTCATAATTTCAACGATTCGTTGTCAACGGGTGAATTCCGTTATCCTATCATCACCTTCCAGAAACAGTTGCTTTGCAACTGTTATTTTGTTTTCTTGAATTCTTTGAGTGATCGATAGACATTATACCTGGGAATACTTGTACCAAATATATGATAATATATGATAATATTTCGAATATTTTAGTGTACAAGTACCCCATGCCCTAAATATACATAGTAAATATAAGGATCATTATTTATTATTCAGTTAAGTAACCTATTGTTTACTGTACTACAACTTTTAATTTACATTTTATTTTAATATTATTCGTATATTTTTAGGCCCACTGGCAGTAATCGCCTTCGCTTTTGTCGCCTGTAAGAACTGGTCAGAATTAGGTTGGGAAATAGAAGACAACCCTGTAGCCACCGCATTTGAAATTTTCTGGATGTTCTTTGAACCTATGCTCTTTTCTATTACAGGAGCGCAAGTTGTTGTAAGTACTAATACAATGTGTTTAAATATATAATTCTGTATAGTAAAAATTTAAAAAAATTCTCAAGAATAGTTTTTAATTTACACGAAATTATTTTAGTACGGCTGAAATCAAATGAACCGTTCACATAGATAAGTGAATATCAATATTGATGAACACACATGGAACTAATTACCGAAACTTGCAATAATTTTACTAACAAATATATGGTCATGCTGCTTTGTAGCAGAAGTAATATATACAGACAGAAATTCAAACAACTCTGTACGAAGTATCTTTCGTATATATGATAGCAGAGAAAATACTTGTAACTTATCCAATGAATATGTAATCACTAGAATACATTATATTATAGTGATTACATATTCATTAGATCTGTTTTTCATATATCACGATGGTGGCCATTGCCACAGCTCATGATGATAGTAATTGGATACTGGTCTCACAAGCTATGAACGCCTAAAACATCAGAATGACGTTGTGATGCCTACCCTTAAAAACCTAAATATATATATTCTTCTTGAGAACCCATCCCGTAGTATTTGGAGAAAACCTAGTAGCCATATTAGTTACAACTGTTTCGCTTATTATAGCTGGATTATAATTTCAGATTTCAGAGTTACCGATACGACTTGTTCTCATCGCCAGTGGTATACTAGCAACATGTGTGATTCTACGTGCAATTGTTACCAGTTTGAGTGCAGTACGCAGTAACTTAAACACAAAAGAGAAGATTTTTGTAGGCTTGTCATGGATGGCGAAAGCAACTGTCCAGGTCCGTACATACAGTGTAGGCTCTTGAGATTTTCGATGCAATCTCCAACAACAAGGACCATTTGCATCATAAAGGCAAACAAATATTGGGGCACAGTATATTTATCAGTATAATCTTATGCAATTTAAACCCTATATTGTTATTTTTTTCATGTGAAACAAATGAAGGTTATTTTATAAGAACATACCCCACTAACTATCTCTTCAATATTTTTCTAAATTTTAATCATGAATTAATGCTAAAAAATTTCGAATATATTGCGCAATACAGGTGAATTGAAAACCTCCTCTTTTGGTAGTCAAGTAATGTAATTAAAATATCCATTACGTCAACCAATGACTATTCAAAATCTTTGAATTTTAATTGTTCTTCCTTTAATAATTTACACAAATTAAAGAGAATATTGGCAGCAGGCTATGTATCTGATAATTGTGAAGTTTTGTTCTAGTAAACACGCATTGTTTCTATAGTTATTACGTATACATAAATATACGTTTGTATTATAAATACGTCAATCATAGACACAAATTAACGGTAGTCGGAGTCCATATTATTATATCAATTATAAATCTATATACTTTTATACTCAAATATAAAACATAGATCCTTATAAAATTCCTAAAATTCGTTAGATTTCAAATAAATATATTGCTAAATATAAAAAGAATCAGTAAAAGTAAATCCCATATGAAATGGTTCTTTTTTCTTGCACCTTTGTAGGCAGCGTTGGCACCTGTAGCATTAGATGAGGTACGGAAAATGGTTGGCCTAAACCCGTCAGAGCAGGCAGTTCTCGAGGGGTACGCAGAGATCATAATTACTGTGTGCATTATGTCTATCGTCATAACTGCACCAATCGGAGCTATTATTATCACCCTCACCGGACCTAGGCTACTTTCCAAGACTACGAAACCTCCAGTTTTAGAAGGTAAGATTAATCAACATATTCTCTTATACATAAGTGTCCCTCTAAGTGTCTAATGTTAGTATTACAGTATATTCCATATTAATAATATTATTCTTCTATTATATTTTCAATCCGTCTATAATCTACATATATTATCAATAGATTTTCTGTATGTTTTAAGCCAAAATAATTTGTCAGACTAATTTTATTTAAACTTTTCTTTCTAATAGCATACTATAATGTGTTTTACTTGAACTACCATAGGGTTCGAGGAAGTGTCAAAAAGGCTTTACCAAAGGATTTTTTAGGATTTCCAAATACCATACATCTTACTACTACTATTATTCGTATTTAGAAACCTAATTACCCAATAGATTTTTATATATTGTATATACATTATTAGGTAATAAAATTATTAATACAGGTATTGAATAAAAAGCTTTAATTCCAACATATATAGTATAATTGGCATATATTCAGACACCATGACAATAGTAATAAAATTTTCACCTTATATTCATTATTTAAAAGTACAAATATTATAAGTACGGTACACACGAGACGGAATTTAAGTCGTAATAGAGCCAAGTATGTTAAATACGCATATTTATCGTACAACATTTTTCATTACAGTTGATTTTAAATAAAGGCAACCATAAAACTCTGATGCACACTTTTCATTTCCCGCCTTTTTATTTTTTTAAATTAGCGCGCTACCTATTGGGTGGAGCCGCGCGGCGGGCGAGTTAGGAAAATAGCATATAGTGCGGTTATGGAATACAGCTTTACCATTTGCAATATATTACATTATATTATACACTTAATTTAATATCTAGTTTACGAACAGGTGTATTGAAAATTTCCTTTTTTTTTTAAATATGTTAATAATAATGAGAGAGATTACTCGGATCATTATTTTTCGGGTCGTAGGTTCCATTGTTACGTTTCGTGGGATAAAAAAAGTTTTGGTCAGGATTTGTATTATATGGATATGCATAATTGGATGTCTGGTTAAACTGATAAGGATTACTACCAAAAGAGTTTTGTCCTTGATTTTGCGGATAATTTTGAAAAGAATTGCCGGAAGATTGATGATATCTATCGTTATATGGTCTTTGATTTGTTAAATTAGATCTCGGATAATTGTAATTCCAAGTATTATTACTCGTAGATGGGTATCCACTATGTGGCGTATGACTTATTGGATACTGTCCATTCTGTGTTACGTTATAAGTAGTTCTTGAATTCTGTATGTATGAAGGGTAACTTGTACCTGAATTATTATAATAAGGAACTTGAGAACGAAATGGATAATTTGGAGGAGAATTAACGAAGGACGGAGTATTGTTATAAGAATTGGTATTACCATATGATGGACTATGGCCATATGATGTGACATTATTAGAAGGCCTTAATCCCTGTGTATATGATGGGTACCCTGGGTTCGAATAATTGCTATTTTTATGTGGAACTTGGGGACGATTTGGATAACCAGTAGGATTATAACTATTTGATGGGTACTGTCCATATGTTGTTGAATTATAATAAGGCCTTGGATTCTGATTATATGATGAATAATTGGGCTGCTTATTGTAGTAATTAGCATTTGGAGTTTGCGAATGAGATGGATAACCTGAAGAAATGTTATTGTAAACCGAATATGGTCTATGAGATGTATAATTATAACTATTTAATGCTAATCCTGGTTTGGTACTGGATATATTAAAATTGTTGTACGGACCATTTGACGGTTGTGTATTATATGGATATTGAGGCCGTTTTGAACGATTATCTGTTATGTACGCAGGAGTTGTGTAACCAGGATAATTTATAGAGCCATAAGGATTTCCTGAAACATTATGTTGAGCATTGTAATATTGTATATTTTGATTATACGAAGGAGTAGATCCTGGATACAACTGTGGATACAATTGCGAATTTCCTGCCTTTATCTCCCTGGTGACACGTTGCTTCCTAATTAAAGTATCCTCATCTTCTTTCTTCGAACTACGGAGCACGGATATTATAGAACTTTCTTCATATTTACTTTCATATGTCGGCGTAGCTGTATAATGTAAATGGTTTTCTTCGTTTTTGTTTAAATTCACAGAATTATCCTTGATCTCAAAATCATATTCAATGGGTTCCAAGATGTGACTGTCTTGAGTGTATTGATCTTCCGCATATTTTCTATTTATTTCAATCGAATGACTTTTATAATTAAATAACACAATAATTACTAAACAGACGCGATACACAATGTTAAACATTTTGACGACTGGGAATCTATCAACACTTCAATATATTGTAAATGTTGTCGACTAAATATAGTTTAATCAGTTTGACCTATGCCAATTGTGACCTTATTTACTTATTAGAATGTATTAATTAGCCAGTATCACTATTTAGCGATTAAACACATACATTTATTTACTAAAAAATAATTGAGTATGTAACTATATTTCACTTAAATGCCAACTTAATACTACGTACGTACCTGCCCACTTAAATTGAAGAGTTTCCATTTATTATCATAAATAAGTAGCACAAGTAAAAATTATTATGATGAATATATTTACTATCTGGGGAAAATGGATAACAAGCTGGCAACCCAGGATATAATAAAATAACCTTTGAGGATAAATCATAAACAATATTGTGTCGTTATATATTTCTTTCGGTAAGAAGAATTAGACAATTAACAGACGTGGCAACGGCTAAACTTGTCTATTTTAGCTATTTCCATAGCATTATGTCGTATGGTATTTTGTTATGGGGCAAAGCAGCTGATATAAATACAATATTTACTTTACAAAAGAGGGCCATTCGCTCCATTTATGGTATGGGTTCCAGGGAGTCATTGCGAGAGTGTTTTAAGGAATCAAATATCCTCACCGTTGCTTCTCAATACATTTATGAAAATATCATCTATGCCAGAAGGAATATAGACAGTTTCAAAAGAGTTAGTGATTGCACTAATAAAAGCTTACGTAACAATAACAAACTGATTTTACCTAAATGTCGTTTGGCTAAAGTTAGTAATTCGTTTTATGGCAATTGCGTAAGGTTTTAAAATAAAATACCAGAGTCTGTTATAAATCTGCCAGAAAAAAGATTTAAATGTCAAATAAAACAGTTCCTTTGCAAAAAAGCTTACTATAAAATTGAAGAATTCGTTAAAGATAATAATGTTTTTATAGAAAAACTTTAAATCTATAGCACTGACAATATTATCTGATTACATTAATAATGAGTGCGTAGCGACTTCTATGTTGATTATCGCATGCCTCTTACTTGTTATACTGTAATTATTTATATAAAAAAAAACATCTATTAAAAAGAGCAACACACAAGTTTCTTGCTCATTCTTCTTGTGATGAATCTGCATTCCGAATGAGTGGTAGAATCAAAATATGACTATTCAAAAGTGCTTGTAATGAGTTTATTTGAATAAAGATTATTTCTATTTCTATTTCTATTTCTATTTTCATTAATAATATAACAATACTACATTAATATAACAATATGTCAACAATATTATGTATATATCTGTACTTATACTTATCTGTACTTGCAATTTTTCTTAAACAGTACATTGAATAAAATCTTATAGAACTATAGATATCATATTGTAAACAATTAAAAAACTGTAAAGCCCAAGTTTAAAAATACTCCTCTAAATCATTTACTTAGGTAACAATTTATTTTATACAGGTTGGCGCCGATCACACCGGCCATCAATTAGAGATATATCCATCATAGACGAAGATGAAGTAGCAGAACGAGACGCCGAGGGAAATCAGCAACAATCACCCCCCACCACGCCAGTACCACCGGCCGCCTTTAGCACACCCACGCCTATTACCGTGCAACCTAATCATCGAACTTGACGAATTTAAACAACAATTTTATAATACACTACTAGAGATTATTTATTTAAAAAAATGTATGTTTGCTGGACTTGGTCAACTATGCCCTAAGTGGTACATAATATACATACCTATATAGAAATTAAATATAATAAGCAACACAAAAAGCGTTGACAAGATTGTATTATTGTTAGTTTTTTTACAACCAAAAAAACGATTGTCATTCGTGTATTATAAATGCGTTACTGAAATCAAATATTCCGATCACGTAAAACCGTCCACCAAGTGCGTTGCGTCTATTTTTTCTAGAAACAGACTGTTCTTAATAAAATAAAAAAAATAAAATTCTACTAGCTTCACATATAAGATAATTTTTAAAAAAAAAATCTTTAAAATAGACTGCTCTAACATGAATGTATCTATTTCTATTTTAGATTAGTACTTACTTTTTTACTAACTTATCAATAAATCATGTTGTGGCGCTTATATTTGGATACTGAATGCTTAGATTACATTGTTTTTCAACATTCTGTTATAAAATAATCCACTTAGGTAATTATAAAAAAAAGACGTTGTTAGAAGCCTTTGGCTTGAACTTTTGTCAATAACTGTAGGTAATAAAATATGTTACAATACGTAATTAACAGGCATAAATATTGCATACGGTACTGCAGATTAATATTAGACGACTTCTAGGCGTAAAGGTCCAGTGCAAACTATCGATTATTGTATTCTAATTAATGCATACAAAGTTGGTACATCACTTATGAAATGTAAATAAATTCACAACATTAGGACATTATAATAATCGTCAAGTATAGGTAATAATAAAATACTATATTTTAAGTTAATTGTGATAAAAAGTATACTTGATTGCTATCGATGCATGTAGAAACCTCGCTGCAGATTAAGTGATTCTGCTTAAAAATTGTTGTTGTTAACACCATGAAAACTTTTATTTTTATAAGTACTTAATGTATTGTGTAAGTGTATTAATTAATTAATTTATACTTATTGTAATGATGATCAGTATTGTCAGTAGGTATTTAAAAAAGAGACAAAATTACTAATATAATTATTTGGTACAAACATTAAGTTGTAAATAAAATTTACTATGTGTAAGAATTTAATTCAGTCTTTAGCACCATCGTTGTTTTCAAATAATGTATGTAAATTGGATTGGTATTATAATATATGAGCTAAGCTAGCCAAACCATAAATAAAACATTTATATGTATAATTACTTATTAAATAATTTGTCACGTTTGTGGCATTGTCCTGTCAAACATGATTAATAACTATGGGAATCAATTTATCTACGGAGCCTAAAATAAATCTGTTGATTGCCTTAATCATTGATATTATCATAGTAAAAACGTAATATAATTTATTGTTGGTCTATTTTGAATACCTAATATATGAATCGATTCTTACACCTGTTACCATTTCTGTTGTTCTGTAATTTTTAATAAGACAGGTTAATATATATACGTAAGAATTTTAATTCAAGCATTGTTTAACCATACAATTCTGATTACCTATCTGAATATGTATACTAATAAAATGCTTTATAATAAATAAAGCTATGTCTACATGTATAGATTTTACTCAATAAGCTCAATTTATGTTTCTAAATACACACGTAAATATATGTAGTTGTTAATAGTTATTAAAAAATTGTGTAGACGTGTACAGAAATACGTACCTAATAACGTCCATTCCAATATGGGTCTATAATTTTAGCATGAATTTGTATTAAAAATACTAGTTAATACTTTAAAGAAATGAGCAATAAAATTATTGCAACATACCTAATTGTCGTTAATTTTATTAAAATCCCTTATGTAACTCATCCTATATTCCTGACTATATATATGTATTAGTTTGAATAGGTGAATTATACCTTGCACTTTATCGTATACTTACAAATATATAAAAAACAAAAAAATAATAATTATAAATAAGAGTTAATACCGTAGCATCGTAAATGACAGAAGGTCTAGTTAAATGTGACACTTGGTCTAAACTATGACTCAATCAGGAGAGTTTTACAAATCTAATACCAATCGAGGACATAGAGAGAAAGAGATTGATGTAACAGATGAGAGAGAAATCTCGTTGTCAATATTAATGGGCCAATTAGAGAGTTGTAGGCAACTCTGACTTCGCTAATTAACTTAACTGTAATATCTTATAGCAATATATTGCTAGTTGTATTATTAACTTAATCCTTTAACTCTGCCTACTTTACTTTACTAATTTATGACAATCTCTCCATTACATCTCTCTTTAAATGCGAAATGAAATTGAGATTTATTTCAATGATTTCATGACCATTCCAACCCATCGAATTCAAAATATTTAGATGAATTCATCTCAGTCTAAATTCATTGTTACTGTCTCATTACGCTTGAATGTACTCTTATTTGGATTCTTTGAATTGTAAATAATCTCAAGGTTGTTTAAGAATTTATCTCACTACTCTTATTGAGTTGCAAAGAATTTTTAGGAATGCTAATTTACTTCTTATGTCTCTTAATTTTATACCAGAACCAAAATAAATATCAAAATTACTTTATCTATACAGTAACTTATGTTTCTAGCAACATCATGTATACCTTAAATGACAAATTTTGAAAAATCTTATTTACATCACTGAGGGACTAGAATGTATGTTATAATTTTAGTAGTTTCCAGTAAGCAATAATGAATGAAAGTTGATTTATCTGTTTATATTAATGATACTATTAACAAACACAAATGGCAGACACTCTGTCGCATAAAGCGACAAAATGATAATTATTAATAGATATAGAATATGGACGCAGGAGATCATTAAAATTACTACGTCACGATAAACATTAATCTTATCAGAAATAATATCCTCCAAAATACAGTTGTTTACATTTTTATAACATTTAAGTGCGTTAAAATATTAATTTGTTACTATGTATATGAAATTATGAAAAGTATATTTTATGTAATCATTCACGAAATGATTATTTAAAGGTAGTCATAACGGGTAGTCAGATTTACCAAACGGAAAGAAGACCCATGGGTAGCATCATAAAAGTGATATACCAAACCACCTTTAGAGTACAAATTAACAATAATTTTTGAAATTTTCATATATATCTACTAAATTAATAACACAGGCGCATTTTTCGTACACAAAAAAAAACACATCACACAAATTCGATAAAAATTATGAAATCGATAAGCTATAACGGTTTCATATTTTAAATTAGATATTATATAAATAACACAGACACTGCTCATTTACGATTTTGCACAAGCAAAAGCAAAAACAGCTTTCGTATTGGATTTCGTATAGTCATTATCCACAATTTTATATATGTTGTAATAATATTTCGTAATTTCTACAATAACATTGTATAAATTGATGCATGACGAGATTCACCTCTAAAGGCAGAGACAACTACATTGCGCCTACGCTATTGATAGGGAAATATTACCTTCCAACAACTTATATTTTGTTGCAAAAAAAATTGTCTATGTGATAGAAATTTTAAATTGATGGCCGGTTGCACGCTGGTGGAACTCTACAACTAGTACCAATCCGAACAATTGATCAGTTCACGCTCCGCCACGGTAACGGTATACCGTAACAAAATGCACAGAAATGCATTGTCTCTCACCAATGCCAAGGGGTAGAATTAGTTACCAAAACGTTGATTACCCATCGACTCATCCATTCCTATAGATAATTTCGGTGATGTAGCAATTTAGCATACTTGCTTCACCTATCGATGATCTTAGATTCCATTACCACACAATAAAAATAAGAAATCTTTGAAAGCTTTCGGTATTGGTCTTAATTTCCAGTTTAATCAGGACCAGATGGATTTATATAAGATTGTAGCGGCTCAATATTATTGTTACTACTACTGTGACACCGCGCTCACAAAGATTTTATTCACAACTAACAATTATTTTATTTCACTTCGTAATTTTAAGTATTATTGTGAAACTGTCTATATGTGTGTTTGTAGTAGACATATATGCGTTTAACTTTAATACCTACAAGTTATCTAGGTTTATTTATCTTTATTAGAAATAGAAATAGAAATAGAAATAATCTTTATTCAAATAAACTCATTACAAGCACTTTTGAATAGTCATATTTTGATTCTACCACTCATTCGGAATGCAGATTCATCACAAGAAGAATGAGCAAGAAACTTGTGTGTTGCTCTTTTTGATAAATGTTTTTTTTATATAAATAATTACAGTGTAACAAGTAAGAGGCAACAATCAACATAGAAATCGCTACGCACTATTATTGGTGTAATCAGATAATATTGTCAGTGCTATGTATTTAAAATTTTTCTACAAAAACATTATTATCGTTAACGAATTCTTCAATTTTATAGTAAGCTTTTTTGCAAAGGAAGTGTTTTATTTGACATTTAAATCTTTTTTCTGGCAGATTTATAACAGACTCTGGTATTTTATTGTAAAACCTTACGCAATTGCAATAAAACGAATTACTAACTTTAGCCAAACGACATTTAGGTAAAATCAGTTTGTTATTGTTACGTAAGCTTTTATTAGTGCAATCACTAACTCTTTTGAAACTGTCTATATTCTTCCTGGCATACATGATGTTTTCATAAATATATTGAGAAGCAACGGTGAGGATATTTGATTCCTTAAAGCACTCTCGCAAAGACTCCCTGGAACCCATGCTATAAATGGAGCGAACGGCCCTCTTTTGTAAAATAAATATTGTATCTATATCAGCTGCTTTGCCCCATAACAAAATACCATACGACATAATGCTATGGAAATAGCTAAAGTACACAAGTTTAGCAGTTGCCTATTTACCTAATTTTATTATTATTTACCTAATTATATTATATATACCTAACGACTCATTACTACCCCAATGATACTAATACTGAAACCTATATTGAAAACAATTGGTTTAAAAGAACCAAATCGAAAAGCAAACAAACCCAGGCAAGACATTATTTTATACTAATTAGAGATAAAGAAATAAAATACTAATGTGTATAAGCAAATACCAAACAATATACTCATTACTGAAAAAAATCAGTTATGTAACTTTATATGACCAACATCAAAATTTGCGTCAACGGTAATTTAGATTAATTAGTAAGCCATTTAGCCAAGCCCACTTTTCTTATAGTCACCATATATCAGATTAGCTCATACTTAATAAATTTTATTGGGCAACCAGCTACGTCATTTGATGACTCTTCTACGATAATAGTGATTCTTTGATATCCATTTAATAGTTATCAGCGATATTAATAACAAGTTTAAGAAAATATATTCTTTGTATTATACTACAATAGGACAATAGATAGTCTATTTAGACAATAGATAGACTTTCATAGCTCTATACAAACCCATATCCTATGAACCCGAAAGATCACCTCGGGACCTTAAAAATAATAGCCATTGCATCAATATGATAAAATATTTTTATTTATAGCTTGTACATGTTATTTAATACACCTGGTGATTATTACTAATAGACACATAGTAGAATACATTATAAAATATATACTGTCTAATATATATGCGAGTAAATACAAATTACTATCAATACCTCTAATGCGAGATTTAGCATAAAAATAAAATAGCCATAGCAAAATTTTGAAATAAAATTAACTAAATAAAAATAAGTTACGAATAAAATATTATGTCTTTTTTACCAATATGTTCTATTTATTAATTTGTATTATCTACCAATAGAAACTATATTAGATAACAAAAATTATTTTAATTGAATATATTTATATTCTTTTCTTTAAAAAGGTACTTAAAAAATATTTGGAACGATATGAAAATTAAAATGGACATCACACTTAATCTTCGTATACTTGAAGCAACATATAACATTTCATAAATCACATGTTTTTAATATAAGTAGCAACAATAATCCTTTTCTTACACTTGCACTGAGATAAAAGTTCTTAAATACTACCTATTAATTATACTTATTCTAACTTAACTATGTAATGAGATAATAAAAAATGCAATATTTCCTTTTAATTACTGTTAATTTATACTTCATAATAAATACAGGACAAATAAATGTAACAAAGATACATATAAAACTACTGTCTTATTCATGAAAACTAAATGCTTTTTCGAACCTATTTTAACTAAGTATTAAGAAAATAATTCAAATTATTTAAAACATAACAGTCCAGTAGCTAAAATAAGTTTATCAGTTTGACGGTTTCATGAATAGAGGAGTTAATCTAGGACTAGATAAGTTCTTCTTCCTGCAATACAAGTGCAGTAACATTTATATAAAAAATAGGATTCTAAGTGCACAAGAAAAATTATGTGAGCGTCAAAATAAGTTAAACTACTAACTCATGCTACCATTAGATTATGTTATCAATTAACGATAACAAAATAATACAAATATTAGAAAACATGTGCGCAGTCATATACAAAAATCACACAGTGAGTTATGTAGGTGCGTGACAAATTATTATGACGTGGAGAGGCAGTGAGTATATTTGCGCTCTATACGTTCCTATTTCTCCTTTTCGTTGTTAGCCAACGATATCCTCATTGGCTCATGGCTGATGGTCCGAGACAAGTAGGTTGAGGAAGTGCGAGCAGAGGACGAAGGGCCACTCTTTCTCATATCCGGCTTCTCCAACCCTGTTCATATTAGTTTTAGTTAATGATATTATACATAATTACAATAAGAGACAAGCAATCAATGATAATCTTCAATGATCAGGTGCTCAGCTTGTGCATATAATTATTATGTCATACTTTCGAGTGCATAGCGAAAAGATTAATGTTAACTAAATCATAGATAACAACAACAAAAAGTATGTTTTAGTAGTCATTTCAAAAAAATTGTTTGTTAGATAAAGCCATGACTAAATAAATATTAGGCAATCCACTACGTCTATAGTAGTATTAGAAGTTATATTATATATTATACAAGACAAAAAGATAAATGAAAGAAGAACGATAGTTAAACCACAACATTAGTACTAGTACATACTTGTATCTATTGGAATTCCTGAACAACCTGAAAAACAATGTATATTGATATTTCAGGAATTTCATTTACTCATGGGTTGTTCTTTAGTCACAAATATTATGTCTAATTAGGTAGTACAAAGGGGAGTCAATTGTGTGACCTTGATTTTATCTACGCTGATACCCCAGTATTTAGTCTAAGTGGAAGCAAGATTAATTAACATCCATAATGAATATAAATCCGCAAACTGCAAATCGGACTCAGACTCTGGGATGGCTTACAAATAATGTAATATTTATCCTGAGTAACCTACTTTCTACTTACGAAGGAATAAGACATTAATGTAACTATTTCTATTTCTTCAGATGCAAACATACATAAAAATATATATCTTTATATTGCATTGTCACAATAGGATTAACAATATTTTCAACTATTCAAAATTTGATATCAATGTCATTATTAGTCTGACATATGAGTACAGTGCTTTGATGGACGAAATAACGGACACACAAAGTTGCATTGTAATGATTCCAGTTTAAACTTTTCCTTCTCTAAATCAACTATATACTTCATAATACCGCATATAATTATAAGTGCAGTGAAGAAAAAATAATTTTGTGGATATAAATGAAGTGACTGTAGGTGAATAAAGTGACCTCCATGCTATCCTCCCTGGAAACCACCACGGTTTATTCCTAGTGAAATCGTGACTATGGACTAACTTACCTGATTTCATTCTAGTACTAATCATACTTCACTGGTGCTCCGCCAGCGTATACCGATAAATAGCTCACCTCAATTTCGGGATTCTTATATATAATAAGAGGACAAATATTTAAGATGTATAGAAATACACATACCCAATCTCTTCCTAATGAGGTAGTACAGCTTCGGCTTGAATATGAGTATTATGAAGATGAAAACGCCTTGAAGTTCATTTAAGAGATCAACAACGAACCAGAGCCACCGCGGTTCATGTGTCAAGGTAGACAGCAGTTCCGAAACCCAGCCTGCACCCATCACCACCCACAATTTGCCAGTTAATATATATCTGTAAGAAACACGCATATATACTTACCTCTGTAGGCTTTACTATCGTATTCTACTCGTATTTCTGCCGTCAAACAGCTTTCTTTGTAAACTATGTATCGGTTGAAAGATAATGAAACTACAGGATATGGAGGCATAATATCTTCTTCGAGATGACAACGAATTAGTAGTGTGTCTTCATAGACATGTTCATGTTCATGTGTATATACATGTTATGGCAGTTACCATTTAGCATCAGGTGAACCGTCATTTGTTTTTCTATCAAATTAAAAAAATACATCAAAAATGCGGAGATAAATTAATTAACTAATCAAAATATCTGAACAACTTTAGTAATTGATTCTATGCGGTTACATGTAAAGAAAAAGCATAAGTATGATTTTGTCTTCTTTCTAAAATTCAGTTAAGACAAAATGTCTCTGATTGGCAAAGGTTATTCACATAAAAGCAGTAAAACGCCCATTTCACAAAACTACATATCTACAAAGCAAAGAGGTTTTCCACGAAAAATGATTACGTGAAGCTGCATTCCTTATCATTTACGTTTGCTTCTGAAAATTTGATAGAATTACTGTATATACTTTTCCCATGAACTATTCTGGCTTTTATAGTGAGGAGGGAGAAAATTATTTATAACACTGTTCTGATCTGTTGATCTTTTAGTGTTCCGTATCTAAATTAGCTAGGAGCATAAGAAGCATCGGTACAATATTTATATACAATATACAATATTTATATAACAAAATATCATATCCTAGGACAACATTTCATAATACAGCCATAACCTAATTTGTTATTAAAAAAATAAAAAATACTGAATTTCGGAACATATGTTAAATGTATTTAGATTTTTAAATTTTCCTATCATAATGTCAATCCAGATATAATAGACTAATTTCTCAAAAAAATGTATATAAATATTTACATATTGTGATAAAAATTATATTTACTTGGCCTGATCGATTCTGAAGCGTCGTTTGGCTCGATCTCCCGCTGAACCGGCTTGCAACCTGTGCATCTCAGATTTAACTCGTGCGCAGTGTCGTGCGGTCAGTACCCACAATACAAAATTCATACAAGTAACTATACCCATTGGTGCCACAAAGAAAATATAATGTGGCCAATCGGATTTGTCGTTTTGAACTGAAACAAGTACAATATTAAATAATTCTGTGTAACATTACAACTTATATAATCTTAAATTTATAGTCGCTGAGGAAAATATATCAATGTTTCTGTAAAATAAATTGTCACTTGAAACTGATCGATTACTATAGACTACAGCAGAATCCCAGAGAATATATATTGTACTCACCAGCACCAAACCAACACATGCCGTTGCCTATGTTTGAGTCTAGAAAAGGCGAAACAGGATAGGTGTCAAACAGGAAAGTTGTGAGTGTGAGAAGAATCGAGCTACTCCATGCGTATACGGAGTACCATATAAATCTATTTCTTTGTGACTTTCCTTTCTGCAAAGATCGTGTGCGGCTGTAACAAAATATCACATAATAAGAATGTGTCGCTGCTTATGAGACTGTTGGCTGGTTTACTGTACAATGGAGTTAAAAGACATAACTCAGCCAACATTCTTAGCCCACTTATATTGATCGAAACTCTTTTCACAACAACACTAGACATTTTTGTAAACAGTCATGTAATATTTATTAAATTGTTTCTTTGGTTGTATCAATACAAATGGCAATAAACATGTCATCAAGACTATTATCCTAGATGGGGTGCTCAGAATTATTTTCGACAGTCGATGTCATAGTAGACATGGTCATCGCTGAGTATATTTAAACTCAACGTGATAGGGAGAATCCTACCGCGCGCCGTCTCTTAGATTAAGTTTTGGATTTGTTGGCGCTGTTTCCATCGCCATATTCATTCATTCAGAAATATAAATGGATACACAAAGTTGTTTTTATGCGTCTGCAAAATTTCACGAACTCTCACGAACTTTTGGTGTAAGTCCGTCTGAAAAACCACAATAAATTACCGATTTAAAGCTAAAATACCATAACCATTTGTATCGGTGTTTATAATATAGTTAATAGTAATAGTATAATAAATTCGCATTAATTAAAATATCACTTATCCCTTAAAGGAGGTAACCAATTAAGAAACTATAATTAGGTGATTTTCAAAATGAATTATCTGTGAATACTACAATTCTAACTTATTCTAAACTAAATATTTTACTTAATACAATGTCTAATCATATTGTTGATATTTATTATTATATTCTTCATTGTCCCACTGCTGAACATGAATCTCTTCTCATGTCAGTTGATGAGCTGACCAATGCAAATTTAAAAGATTGATTATTTACGTTTACCAACGATTTTTTCTATGCACTAACTATATTTTTATAAATATATCCGGATGTAGCACAAAACTTAAGTGAACCCATTAAAATTATATAAGTGCAAGGAAATTTATTTCAGCGTGCTTTCTTAGTGTAATTATATAAAATAATACAATTATAAGAATGCAGAGTTAAATCAGTCACCAAGTGTAGATTACTGTTTATATTGACATGACCACCCACTTCGTTTCAATGTGTATTAGTTCATGAAACTATTACTATATATTCTAATGGCTTGGCATCTGTTAACTACCGATTCCTATTTAGGTATGAGGTCACAGACTAATTTGCTATCGATACGATAAAACACTGCCAAATATATATATGCAGCTACAGTGTTCCGATAATATTAATTAGTATAATTATTAAACAATTTTATGTAAGCACCTACGTACTGTGGTCATTGATTGTATGAATGTAAATACATCATCTACTTCCCTATCCCATTCAATTAGGGTCGGTGTAAAAGTTTTGTCTCTTCCCTGCTTGCAGTCATCTCGTTATTTACTCCCATTCTTACCATACCATCTTTCACACAGTCCATCCAGCTCTTTTTCGGCCCTTTCACTTCCCTTATAACCATCCACATTCATATGAAACACCTTCCTTAAAATATTATCTTCCTTCGCATTACATGCTCATAACACGACAGACGATTACTCTTCAGCCTCTCCGACACCGGCGCCACTATGACACTTCCTTTAATTTAATGTATTCATTTTTTATATTATCCACTCTTGTCACACCACACATCCATCTGTTATATGTTTTCCAAATAAAAATGGTGAATAATCATAATTATAGCAACAGTTACCATGCTTAATCCATAAACTGTAACATCGTAATAACATGTAATACACAACAATTTAATTTATAGGGACTTCTGAAAATACACTTGTCTGTGCAATTCGTGAGCTCTAACCTTGTGTTTTTTCTGACACGGCTATATTTGCGTGATATGATAATACAATGAATTTATTCCCCTGGTAAAATGATGTGGTATAATTAAAACCTCGCCTACTAAGTCATTTATATATAAAATATATCCTTGTCAGTACTAATTTGAAATCACTTAATTATCTTTACTTTATTTTTCTAGTACATTAGTAGGTAGGTATCTATTCTAATCAAAATATTAATATTTGTGAATTTTTTTAATTTTGTAGGTGTGATATGCCAAATTAGAGTGTATTAAGAGGCATAACTTTAGTCCTTAAAAATGATGACTTTTCGAACTATTGTACTGACTGTAATAGGGAATTCCAACTTCACCTGACGACATTCTTGGCTTCTATTATAGAAAGCACGTGTAACCCGCAGAAGATAAGAATACCATCGATGGTCAAGTCTTGCCTGACAGATATAACTTTACATAATATAGCTACACCGCTATAGGTTTGAACCGTCTTGAGCAGATTCAAGCCATTGTAATAATTCAATGCCGATTGGAATGGGATGTGTATCAATGGGACTCAGAGGGTATTAATCATTAAAAGTGATAATTTGGCATTTCAATTCCAGGAAAAAAAAAGAATAATCTTCGTGACATTCACAGTAACTGCTTAGTTATAATTATAGAACTATATATTTCCTAACCCCTTGTTAGGAAATATATAGTTCTATAATATAATTTCGTTTATAGAGAAATTATTAATTTGAATCTTGTTTCTATTAATAATCATTCAGTAATCTTTGAGGTTGCTATTTAGCATGCATTTTTTTATAGTAATAAAATATAGTAATCTTATTTGAATTCAACTAGTACTTTATTCTTCTTTTTTAAAAACGTTATTATAAACACAAGAAATCTGGAAATGAAGGTTGACCAAATAGATGTTTAATGTATATAGATGAGTCATTCTCGCAAATGTGCAGCTTTAAGGATGACCTTATTAACAATATATACATTCAGAGTTTGGCAAGACATTTTGCGTGTGGATACACCATTGGACGAAGGAATTAATTAACGTGGTAAACAAATCCATAGGAGTGTATGTATCTTATTAGGTGCGGGAGTGAGTCAACAAATATATTACAACAATGAGCCCTCTACATCCACGCCCTAACCTTACGCAATTAACGATTATGTTAGCTAACATATATTTAATTTTGTAGCATAAAAAAACCGCTGCTGATTGAAACTATATTAGTTTCCTATGTTTTTTTTAGCGTGTTGCTCTAGTGTTAAAATAAAAATTCATACGAGTATATTCCAACTCTTCGTCATCCCGAAGATATCGTACGAGACTGACTATCGGATCAAATTACACTACTAGAAAACGGATATCTAAAAGCCTCTACCACACCACTAGATTTCTTATGGGAAAATTCTCATGCAGTGATTTATTGTGCATTCAATTTTAAATAGTAAATATAAGATATGGCTACTTCATGTGTCAATGCCACGTTAGTATGAATGATATCCCGATCAGCAGAATGCCGATTCAAATACAATAAAAGTAAATACCCACCTTCTTTGTATTTTAAATTTGACAGGAATTGGTGTATAATCATCTAGCCACGAGAAGCGCGTGGGCTAGTAATAACATGAACGAACAAGTAGGTACTTACGTCAGTGGTGTGGTAAATATTAAGACTAATCCCATGCAAGAAAATGCACTGACTTTATAATTATTTAAGATATAATGCAAAAAATTAATGTTGTTTCCAAATTAACTTCATTTGTAACAAAAATAGACGTAAACTCTATTTATTTAAAAAAATAATTAAAATCAGTTTTAATGTGGTTATATTAGTATATATATTACTAGCTACTCGCCCCGGCTTCGCACGGGTGGACACGTATTATATAGGTAAACCTTCTTCTTGAATCACTCTATCTATTAAGAAAACAGCTTCAAAATCCGTTACGTAGTTTTAAAGATTTAAACATACATAGGAACGGATAGACAGCGACAACTACTTTGTTTTATACTATGTAATGATACTGAGATATAAATATATACCTACGTATAATATCTGGCATAGATATTTGTAAAACGTATTGTGATTTGAGAAGTCTTCATCCTTCAGATTAATAAAATAATAAGTTGTGCTATTTCTGGTCGATGATAATTTAATTAATTAACAAATTAATTTAACCTAATAATAATTTTGTATTATTATGTATTGCTTTAAAAATGAGTAATCAGCAATTTGATTTCAAAATTGTTGTAGTACCTATTAGTACTAGTTAGTTTGTTTCTATTCGTGTAATGGTAAAATATTACTCTTATTAAGGAAGACAATCAACAACATCATCGAAAACTATCACCCAATTTCTTACAGACTGTACAATGTTGTACTAGTTACCATTGGACGCTATGTTTACATGTCTACTATCGAGTATGAGCATCCGGCACAGAAAAATATCTACCTACACTACATTTCCGTGAACCAATTTCGGAATTGGCAATAATAAATTGTTTATCACAAGCTGGTAATAGGAAACACTTCTTTATGACTAATGATAACACAATAAATATTAAAAATCATATTCATACTATTTATCTAACCATATATAGGTACAATTTAGTGATAATATAGTCAATATAATGACTATTTTCAATTAATCTATCTATATGTCGATATAACTCTAAACATTATACTTTAGTTTATTTCGTGTAGAATAAGCATTGTATATCACATGTGCATTCGGTTGGGGGCCTGGTGATCTGTATTACAGATTATACCTATTTTACACACCATGCATTGTATTATCCAAAATACTACAAGAATTTGTTGCCATTATTGTTATATTATAAATTGATGGTGCATATGTATCATTATCGTCATTTCACCTCCATGTACTGCTGCATACATTATAGACCGTCAACAAAATTTTCCACCATGTTAAATTTATTGCATGCAGAGATTTATTTGGCTGCAGAACAGCCTAGACATTATTGCGACTCGTATTTTTTGGACTTTTATATAAGTTAAGCTCTTTAGACTGTTAGTTTGAAAGGATTTTTTAATGACACAGTAGAAGGAATGCCAAAAAACAGCTAGATAATATTCGTGATTTGCAACACAAATGTGGCAATTCCAACTCCGGCCTTACGGTTACATAATCGATACATATAAATAAAATTGGAGTGACTGTTTGTAATATTGAAAT